CCCCCTCCCAGTCATTTTGTCAGGCCGCCCGCTAGGCCATGGATCCCCCGGGTGATGAGGCGTGGGTGAGAATGTCTGACAGAGGAGCTCCTGATGCTGTGTGTGTGTGTGTGTGTGTGTGTGTGTGCTTGTGTGTGTGTGTCTGTGTGTGTGCGTGTGCGTGTGTGTGTGTGTGTGTGTGTGCGCGCATGTGTGTGGATTAGGTTTATATTATATTGTGGGGAACAAAATAAAGATCTGTTTTTTGACATTGTGGGGACCATTTTTCAGGTCCCCACAAAGGTCTGTGAATGTAGTCGAAAAAGTAAAAATGCCAAAAGTCTCGTATTTTGTTTGGTTACTTATGGTTAAGGTTAGGGCAGGGTAGGAGTTAAGGTAGAAATTTGTCAATAGAAATTAATGGAGAGTCCCCACAAAGATATAACTACAAACCTGTGTGCCTGTGTGTGTGTGTGTGTGTGTGTGTGTGCCTCCACTCTGGATACTTCATTACCTGAGGCTTTGCGGCGTTATTAAAAAGGAGGTGTCCGGGTCCCCCCCCCATTGGGGGCTGTGATGAGCATCTGCCTGCCCCTGTTCCTACTTTAACCCTGGTTACTACTTACATCACTGCAATAATGAGCATCCAGAAGCTGCTGTGTGTCGCAAAGTGGCGTCACCATGGTGCTGGTGACCGCTGACATCACCAAGACGCAGTGTAAGCTGCCGTGGGCGGGGCACTGCGTGTCCTCTGTGTAGCCCCTGTCTGAAGGACTGAAACTTTATATTCTGATGTGCTGGCATTCAGCTAAAAGGCTGCTCTTACCTACATGCACTGGATTGGCCCTGGATGGGTACAGTGTGAAAGCATCTCCGCTGTCCTCCATGCCTGGATGGACCAAGATGCTCCTCGCTGTTGAAGTCACATAGAACCGGAGGTAATATTTTTGGTTCACGTTATCTCACCCCGCAGGGGGTGGCGAGAGCCACAACGGAGCATTCTGGAATATTCCATGGCTGTGACATCTGATCCAAGCTGGTTTGTCATGTGATGAGCTTGTGAAGGGGTGGGGGGGGGGGGGTTCCTGACCCACATCTGCCTGACAACTCAATACCTGAAGAGCAGGGGGGGCTGAGCTCTGAGGTGGGGGGCGGCAGTCGAGGCACAGGTGGATTGACTCAGGTTTCCACATAATCAGCGTGCAGTTGCTCTTTATGCCCAGCGGGGGTCTCGTGCCCTGCTGATACAGCCGATGCTGCTTAATGCCAGTTGGGGGGGGGGGCACCTGTACTCTCTGCCTGACTGAGCCTCCCCTTAATCTTCATGACAGGTTTCAGACTCTGCAGATGGGCCGCTGCCTTTTCGCTTGCCAGTTACCCCCCCCCCCACTCCTCCTCCCATGGGATCACTGCACCTGCCGCCGTGGTAACTGGGAGCCACTCCAGCGCAGGTGAAGCGTGCGGCTTGGGGGCGATGGCTCTCCCTTCTCTGGAAATTGGAGCATGTGCTGCGACTTTGTGTAACCTGGCAAGACACCCTCCCTACCCTGCATGTCCGCCTTACCCACACTCCCTGCGCCGTGATCTCTGATCCCCCTCAACATGATGGGGGGGGGGGGGGGACACCAATCAGCTTTTCCCTCCAGCCTTGCCCTAAAGTCTTCTGTTCCCCGTTCCTCCTAAACTCCCCTTGAGCAGGAGAAGCACAGTCACTGCAGGCTCTCACCTCCTGCTCTGTGTCTGTGCACCTATCGTGCATGTTCCCCCTCATGGTGCACAGGCGTGCACGTAAGTCATCTGAAATTTCTAAAATGCCCATGGTGAATGTGCGTTGTGTGAGGGACCCCTGTACTGGGTTTGGTGAAAAAACAGATTCTAGATGTCACCGTTTTCTCATTCTGCATTTGGTACACGCCCCCTGACAGGCTGTCGACAGTGAGACAGGGAACATCTTTTGCCGTCTGATCAGTTTTTGACTGAACTGGGGGTTAACATGGGGGAGGGGGGGTAATTGGTTCTGGTAATTGGGAGCTTTGAAGCGTCGTGATGTTCCAGCAATGCGATGAATGATGGCGGTAAGTCAGTCTGTCGTTTTATGTGAGTGTTTGATGCGTGGGGTTTCTCTGCTGATGGTCAGATGTGTCTCGTTGTTGCAGCTTTGCCGCTATTCTGTGGGAGGTTATTAAATTGCACCCCTGCTGGGTATTAGATAATCGCTGTCCCAGT